AGCAGCAGCAGCAGTAATACCTAGCCGGCAGACTCTCAGGCGAACTTTGCTGCAGCTGCGGCAGCAGCAGTCCAGCTTGGTGGGAGAACTTATGATGGGTATAAGGGACTACATAGGGCCCCTGGCGGGCAGCTCTGGCTGTGGGGGCCCCTCGGGAGGCCCCTCCGGGGGCCCCTCGGGGGGCCCTTCGGGGGCACCCCTGAGGCGCTCGCAGGGGGCCCCTCCAGGGGCCCCCACGCAGCCAAGCCGCAAGCAGCAGGCGGCGCTGCTGGCTATTTGCGATAAGTTTTTGGAGTCATTTTTTAGTGGAAGAGTTGCGGCAGAAATATTGAGAGAAAGATGCATTGGCGCGTTGGAGGGATGTAAGTTGCTGCTGCGGTTGCTGCTGCGGTTGCTGCTGCGTTTGCTGCTGCGGTTGCTGCTGCGGTTGCTGCTGTGTCAGTGGGAGCTGCTACTAGTGTTGTTTGCTGCGTGAAGCTGTTCTTAGAGGTGGACAGACGCCTTGCTTCCATGCCTGTGCTGCTTCTGATGCTTCTGCTGGTGCTTTTGGTGCTGCTGCTGCTGCTGCTGCAGGGAACCCGTCAGGTGCTGCGCTGCAGCAGTGCGCTGTGGACTCGCTGGTAGTCCGCGCAGCAGCAAATGCGCAGCGGCTGGCACATAGCAGCCTCGGTGTAGCTCCTGCAATTAGGGTGTTCTTGTCTTCCGTTTGTTGCTGCTGCAACCACAGCAGCAACTGCAGAAGCAGCACGGACACCGGCAGCAGCAATAGCAGCGGCGCGTGTGGCAGCAGCAGCAACAGGCTGTCCTCCCCCTTCCCGAGCCCGCAGATGCGCCTTGTGCAGACTCCAACCCCCGGGGGCAGCAGCAGCAGCAGCAGCAACGACGGCAGCAGCGGCAGCTCCATCCGCAGCAGCAGCGGGCCCTGTAGGTGCACAAATGCGACTTGCTGCTGCAGCTGCAGCAGCGGCAGCACCGCAGGCAGCAGCAGCAGCAGCAGCCGCAGGCACGCAGCAGACAACCGAGTGGTTGTTCGCTGCGCCCCTGCATACGTCTACAGCGGCTGCTTCGAACTTATCAAGAACGCCATAGAGGCTACGGTGCAGCGGCAGCAGAAGCAGCAGAAGCAGCAGCAAAGTCAGCAGCAACAACAGGAGCAGCAGGGAGCTGTCGAGGAGGAGCAGCAGCAAGAGTGGGATGCGTTGCCGGTGAGGCAGTCTCGGTGTATATACAGCCTGCCCGCTCTCTATGGTGCTCCTTCCCAAGAGCAGCAGCAGCTTCAGCTGCCGCAGCAGCAGCAGCAGCAGCAGCAGGCCATCAAGTTGCCCCCCGTCGACATTCATCTTATACTGGCTGCAGAGTCGGGGGTTGTGGTGAAGGTACGCTCCCAGCTGCAGCAGCAGCAGCGTGATCTTTGGAAAGCTGCTGTCGCAGGAGCAGCAGCAGCGCGAAGTGTAGGCGGCTACGGCGGCTGCTGCTGCTGCTGCCTGGTCTGAGCTGCTGCTGCTGCGGCCTCACTTCTGCTGCTGCAGGTGTGTGACAGCGGCAACGGCCTGTGTCTGACGGAGCAGCAACTTGCGTGGCGCTTCTTATACTCCACTAGGACCATGCCAGTGGATCGGCAAAACAAGACGCGAGCTGGCTCCGGTACCTTTGCGATGCTGCTGCTGCTTTTGCTGCTGCTGCTGCGGGTGTTGCTGTTGCTGCTTCTGTGGCTGCTGCTGCTGCTGCTGCTGCTGTTGCTGCCGCTTCTGTTGTTGCTGCGGTTGTTTTTGCTGCTGCTGTTCCTGCTGCCGCCGCTGCAGTACATCCCTGTTATTGTTGTTGCTGCTGCTGCTGTTGCTTCTGCAGCTGCGGCTCTATTCTCAGGTTGGGGTGTGGGTCTTCCTCTTACGCGTATGTACGCTCGGGCTCTCGGAGGCGATGCTTTTATGGAGTCGAGGATTGGGTAATTTGCTGCTGCTGGTGCTTCTGCTGCTGCTGCTGCTACGTTCTCTCCTATAGCTGCGGCTGCTAGTATCGTGTCTGCTGTTGTTGTTGGCTTTGCCAGCGTTTGTGTCGCTGCTGCTACTGCTGCTGCGGCAGTTGTTGCTGTTGTTGGCCCAGGCCCGGCACTCATTTGTACAGATGAATTTATATCCACATGTATTAATACATTGAATATGTTATGTGTACCCCTACATACCAAATGGGTGGTCTATAGCATATTCATGTATGGTATCCAAAGCTGGGCTTTTTATGCTGCTGCTGCTGCTGCTGCAGCAGAGGCACACGGTCGTACTTGTACGTGCCGGATATCAGCCCCACTGCATGCACTGCCTCCCCCCAGACCAATTCTGCTGCTGCTGTGGCGCCCCTGTGCTGCTGCAACCCCCTGGTCTGCGGCCCCCGAAGGCAGCAGCAGCATGAGAAGCAGCACCAGCTTCAACAGCAACAGCAGCAGAAAATGCAGCAACGGCAACACCTGCAGCAGCAACACCTGCAGCAACAGTCGCACAACCGCTGCTGCAGCAGCAGGAGCAGCAGCGGTAGTAGCCACTGCAGCCAACAAAGTTAGCTGTCCACATGAAGACCAGCAGCTGCTGCCGGCAACAGCAGCAGCAGCATTAGCAGCTGCAGCACGTCAGTGCAAACAATGCAAATGGCTGTGAGAGGCGGCGTGAGGCCTCCAGTCTGCTGCTGTTCGCAGTGTCGGACTATTTTTGATTTGAGGCCTCACAGCAGCAGCTGAAGCAGCAGCAGCGTTAGCAGTAGCAGCACCATTACTAGCCGCAATCATAGCAGCAGTAGCAGCAGCAGCGAGGGCAGCTTCAATCTTGCCTATGCTGTCAAGGGCCACACGAGAGGGTCTTTGTAGTGGCATCGGCGAGCCCCATGTCTCGCCGAGTGGTCCTGTTGCTGCTGCTGCAGCAGCACACCGCAGCACCAGCGCTTGCTGCCAGCAGCCAGCAGCTGCTGTGACGAGAGCGTGCGAGCCAGTGCAGCTGCTGCAGCAGCAGCTGCAGCAGCCGCAGCAGCTCGGCGGACAGATTTCCCTCTGTGCGACTGCCTGTAATATGCGAATTTGATTTGTTTCAGCAGCAGCTGCAGCAGCTGCCGTCGCCATAATATTGCTGCCGCAGCGACTGCTGCTGCACCACTTACTGCTAGTTTGGTGGTTAGACTGCAACAGCAAGTCAGCAGCAGCAGCAGCACCTGCCGCAGCCCATTAAAGTGCGGCGCCACGTGGCAGCACCACCTGCTACCCCAAAAACGTGCAACGCAGCTAGTGAGAGCAGCAGCAGCAACAGTAGCAGCAGTAGGGTCGCTGGGGTCTAGGGAGCCTTGGGGCCCCTCAAGTAGCAGCAGCTGCGGCCGGTGGACCCACACCGCCTGCCACTTCTGCTGCTGCTGTGCCACAGCTTCCCAAGTGGAAGCATCTTGAGCTGCAGCATGTGTAAATCAGCTCCCGTTGTTGCAGCAGCAGCAAAAGCTGCTGCTGCTGCTGTTCCGCTGTTGCTATGTAAAAAACGATTTAGTCCCAAGAAAAACTCAAATCTTAAAATATTGCGTCCATGGGTAGCAGCAGCAACCGCTGCTGCTGCTTCTGCAGCACGGTGAGCTGCTACACGCGACGGTCCGGCGCAGGCATTGGCCGCAGCGCAGCGAGAAGCTTGGCCGTGGACTCTGCTGCCGCTGCTGGTATTGCTGCTGCTGCTGCCATCGCAGCTCCTGCAAACTGCTGCTGGCGCATGAACAGCTGCTGCTGCACTGACGGCAGCACCTGCTGCTGGCGCGGGGATAGAGGTGTTGGAGGGGAAGCACTAGCAAAGGCAGGAGACGTTGCCTCTCCCGCCGCTTGCTGGTGCTGCTGCTGTTGCTGCTGCTGTTGCTGCTGCTGCTGTTGCTGCTGCTGCTGTTGCTGCTGCGGCAGGGCGTAGCGGTCAAGGTACAGCTGCAGCTGGCGGGACGTCAGTTCCTTGTTGAGGCGAGCATTCACTGCAGCAACAAGAGCAGCAGCTACGACGAGAGAGCAGCCGTGAGGGTACCAGCAGCAAAAAGAGCAGCAGCAGCAAGAAACGCAGCAGCAGGAAGAGCAACAGCTGCAGGAAGTGCAGCAGCAGGACGGAGAGCAGCAGCAAAAATCTCACTTTCTTTTGACGCCTCCAGCTCCGCCTGCAGTTTCTGTACCTGGGCTGCGAGGCTCTGGCACTCCGCATGCAGCGCTTGTTGCTGCTGCTGTTGTTGCTGCTG